ACCAAAGAGAAGAATCTCATGAATGGGGCTGGGAAGTTGGCTCAGTGGTAGAGCGCTTGTCTTGCATGCCTGAGGCCCTGGGTTCGATTCCTCAGCACCACATAAGCAAAAAGAAAAAAGCCGGAAGTGGTGCTGTGGCTCAAGTGGTAGAGCGCTAGCCTTGAGCTGAAGAGCTGAGGGACAGCGCCCAGGCCCAGAGTTCAGGCCCCACGACCGGACCCCCCCCCCAAAAAAAAAGAATCTCATGAACTTTCCTGCCTGGGTTGGCTTTGAACTGTGACCCTCAGATCTCAACCTCCTGGGTAGTTAGGATTATAGGTATGAGACTCCAATGCCCAACTTTTGTAGTGGCTTTAAACAATACAAGGCAAAAAATATGCTTTTTCCTAGGTAGAGCCAAATCTCTCATTAGACTAGCTTGGGTCAAATGCTGCTCCCTGGACCTCTTATTGTGCTCAGGGGCTGTAATGCACCGATCATCCAGCCCTAGCTGATGGCCCCAAGCCTATAGCCAGGTAGGATCCTATCTTACCAGAATCACATAGATAGATGATGTGACCCTAGTGAGGGTTATCAGCAGAAAATCAGGATATTTTTTAACAACATAGAGAGATTGATGCTGGGCAAGGAAAATGGATATCCAGGGAAAACAGCTGTTAGGCAATTCTGTGACAGCCACATGTGACAGGGCCACGTGAGGGTGGAGTCTAGAATGTTGTGCCCCTCTGTCCCTCATGGCTGCATGTGTTTATCCCCCACCTTCCTACTTCTCCTTGCAACACTGGCTTTCTCTGTTTACTCCTTACTCTTTCTTTCTCTTTCTCCTTCCTTCCTTCCTTCTTTCTCTCCTTCCTTCTTTCACTGGTCCTAGGGCTTGAACTCAGAGCCTAGGCACTGTCCTTGACTCTCTCTGTGCTCAAAGCAAGCACTCTACCACTAAGCCACATTCCCATTCCCTCACTCCTTACTTTCTTTTTTTTTTTTTTGTCGGTCGTGGGGCTTGAACTCTGGGCCTGGGCGCTGTCCTTCAGCTCTTCAGCTCAAGGCGAGCGCTCTACCACTTGAGCTACAGCACCACTTCCGGTTTTCTGGTGGTTTATTGGAGATAGGAGTCTCACGGTCTCTCCTGCCCGGGCTGGCTTTGAACCACGATCCTCAGATCTCAGCCTCCTGAGTAGCTAGGATTACAGGCGTGAGCCACCAGCGCCCGGCTTCACTCCTTACTTTCTGTACCACCAAACTTCAGCTCACCTCATTGGACCTGAGTGACCACCATACAGCACAACATAGGGGAAAGAGAACCTCACTGGACTGGCGTGGGTCAGGAGACCCTTCCTGGTGCCCTCGCCGTAGCTGGGGGTGGTCAGTGGTCATCTGGGCTAACCCTTCATGGAACCACAGATATCCTGATTACCTGGCCAGACCCAAACTGAGTGATCAGTGAATGTTAGTGGCCCTGGCCCAGGTCCTTCCCATTCTCACAGTCCCTCCCAGGACCCCTCTTTGCAGTCTGCTAACCATCCCCCAACCTGTCCCCCAGCTATGAGCTCAGAGTTGTCATCTGGAACACTGAAGATGTAGTTCTGGATGATGTGAATCCACTCACTGGAGAGATGTCAAGTGACATTTATGTAAAAAGGTAGGGCTGTAAGTGGGCTGGCCAAATGGGTGTCTGCTGTCTCCTAATGGGATTAAATCCAGAGCCCTGTCCTCCGGGCCTCTATTTAAGTCTAGATCTAGGTAAGATGCTAAGTTCTACGTTTGTCCCAGCTCTGACACCCATGGGCCCTGATTTGTCCCCTTCCTCTTGGTCCCAGCTGGGTGAAGGGGCTGGAGCATGACAAACAGGAGACAGATGTCCACTTCAATTCCCTGACTGGGGAGGGGAACTTCAACTGGCGCTTTGTATTTCGCTTTGACTACCTGCCCACCGAGCGGGAGGTGAGCGTCCGTGGCAAGGCTGGACCGTTCACCCTGGAGGAGGCTGAGTTCCGGCAGCCAGCCGTGCTGGTCCTGCAGGTCTGGGATTATGACCGCATCTCTGCCAACGACTTCCTTGGTACTGCCTGGCCTTTCCCAACCTCAAGTATCTATCCTCACTACCTCATTGTCTCCTTAACCCTTGGTCACCTATTTTAACTCCAAATCCTGGGCTCTCAGACTCCAGGCCTGAACCTTTGTTTTCTCATTAAGCCCTGACCACAGTCATCAACATTTAAGGAAGATCCCTGATTTGATCCTACTGAAGTCCCCCTAGACTCCCTGGGACCCTCCACATAGTAGCCTTTGGGCCTTGGTTTGGAAGTCTGATCCCGGCCCAAGGCCCTCTTTGGCAGGCAGCAGACCACGTGCTGGCAGCTGGGCTGTGGTCTGGTAGTGGGTGGCCTTATCCTGACCGGGGCATCCTCACTTTTGGTGTCCCAACTTCAGCCCAGGTGCGCTGCCTCTCCCCCCCTGGCCCGCCTGGATTTGCCTAACACAGTGAGCTCTGCTCTTCCAGGATCCCTGGAGCTGCAGTTACCTGACATGGTGCGGGGGTCCCGGACCCCGGAGCTCTGCTCCATTCAACTGGCCCGTGATGGGGCTGGACCCAGGTGCAACCTGTTCCGCTGCCGCCGCTTGCGGGGCTGGTGGCCAGTGGTGAAGCTGCGGGAGGCGGAGGATGAGGCCCGTGAGGCCAGCAGGAAGAGGAGGAGGAAGAAGAGAAGGAAGGGGCGCCCAGAGGACCTGGAATTCACAGACAGCGGCGGCCATGTCTATGCGCTCATGGTGCGAGCAGTGAGCGCAGCCCAGCAGTTACCGGGTCTGGCCAGGCCGGGCCTCAGCTCCCAGCGACGCAGTGTCTCTTCTTTCCCAGGGGAAGGTGGAGGCTGAGTTCGAGCTGCTCCCCGTGGAAGAGGCAGAGAAACGGCCAGTGGGGAAGGGGCGGAAGGAGCCGGAGCCCCTGGAGAAACCCAAGTGAGTGGAGCCCAGGCAGCCTGGTCCTTGTTGGGCCAGAGGGTTCGGGGCTTCTGATCACCCTGATTCCTCCCTTCTCCCAACAGCCGCCCCAAAACCTCCTTCAACTGGCTGGTGAATCCGCTGAAGACCTTCATCTTCTTCATCTGGTACCGGTACTGGCACATCCTGCTGCTGCTGCTCCTGTTGCTGCTCATCACCATCTTCCTCCTCCTCGTCTTCTACACCATTCCAGGACAGATCAGCAAGGTCATCTTTAGCCCTCTCCACAAATCCTCTGACTCTGACTGACCTTCAGCAACCCTTCAGCACCCCTCCCCTCTGAATTTCTTCAGCCTAATAAGAGTTATGCCAAAGTTCAGTGCTCTCAATAAACCCTATAGTACCAACGACCGTGAATTATATGTCTGCAGGACCAGCTCCAACAGGGAGTAAGGCAGAGATTTTTATTTTGACAGTCATGGGGTTTGAACTCTGGGCCTGGGCACTGTCCCTCAGCTCTTCAGCTCAAGGCCAGGGATCTACCACTTGAGCCACAGCACCACTTCTGGTTTTCTGGTGGTTAACTGGAGAGGAATCTCATGGATTTTCCACCCAGGGCTGGCTTTGAATTGTGATCCTCAGATCTCAGCCTCCTGAGTAGCCACCGATGCCTGGCTGCACAGATGTTCTTGAGTGGCTGCTACAGGTGTTGGGTGGGGGTTGCTAAACACACTGGGAGACTGCGCACACCCCTCTAATCAGATTGGAACCTTGGAGGGAGGCTGAGAGCCACTCAGTGGCTCTTTCCTCTAAACAGCCCACTTGCTGCTCCTATCCTTGCCAGTGGCTCAGTGGCTGGGGCCCTCCCACCGAAGTGGTTAGGGCATTCCATGACATTCTTAGATGTGAACTGGGAAATAAACCAGTTAACATGTCCCTCACCAGCCCTGAGGGCAAGCACACCTGTATGGAAGTTCTAGTGTCAGAACTTGGCAGCAGCGATGGAAATCCCAGCCCAAATTAAATCAGAAAGGTGCAGTTTGGTTGATGTAGTTTGTCACAGGGTGTGATGTCACCAGTATTGGTTGTCTCTGTCACTTGGCAACTGTGCTGTCCCACAGGGGAAGCTCATCTGTAGGCCGGCTCTCCCCCTTGGATCTGCAAGGTGACAGGCTTGGCTTGCCCTGGTTGCTGTGGCCAGGGAGGGGATGTGCAGGCTGTGAGCATCTCTGGTGAGTTTGGGGTGGGAGACCCACCCTCCTCTCAAGTCCTATAGCTGAGCAGATAGAGAGGGGTTCCCAGAGGAAATTCAGAATACTGGTAAGAAGAAGGGTCCCTGGGTGACAAAACACAAGGCTCATTGTAGCCAGTCCTGTCTTTTCTCCACTCCCATAGATTGGTATGCCTGAAGGGGGATTAAATCATGTCCAAGGAGGGGCAGGCAGGATGGTTCCTGCCTGTAATCTCAGGAGGCAGGGATTAGAGGACTGCAGTTCAAGGCCAGCCTGCAGAAAGGACTCTTAGTGGGAAGCCCTAGTTAGGTCCTGAGCCAGGGTCCTGGTGCTGGCCCTGCTCTATGATGGCACCTCTATCTTCCCTCATTTTTCAGTTTTGCTTCCATTCAGGAGCCTGAAAGGACCTACAAGGATTTTTCTCTCTGTGCCAAGAGCTAACTTGGGGCTTGGCTCAGGGCAGGGACAGTGAACAAGATGCCATCAGGGGGCTGAGTTGAGGTGGCTGATACTGAAGAAGTGACAAACCACAACTGCGCTAGGATCCCTGTACATGGCACTGGAGTTAGCTACTCCATCAGCCAGGGAGCCCCGTGGATCTAGCATGCTCACTTGGAAGGGTCCATCTGGTCCCTATGGAGAAACCGAGGGCAGAACCGTGGAGTGGACAGCAATCAGATGTGGAAAGAGTCCTATTTGCCAAGGGATGCCCATGGGGGGCTTCCAGAGGGCTGGGCTGTGACTTGTCAGTCATGACTGACTTCAGTACATGGCTAAGATGGGTGGCTGTTCCTAGGTTCTGGCCAATAATCACACAGAGACCAATAGTACTATCACAATCCATATTTATCAACCTTGGGCTGGGGTAGACTGAGGAGGCGGGAGGTGGGGCAGGTGGAAGAGGGTAGGGGATATAACCACAGGTCAAAGAGAAAGAAGAGAAAGGGGGAAGGGGGGAGGGGGAAGATGACTACGTTGTCTTCCCTAGATCAATTTTCTTCTGGATGGCTCGGGCAGAGTGGTAGATGAGTGAATCGATGAGTCCAGCCACTGGGGGGAGAGAGAAGGGCTGGCGCTGGCCCATTTGGGCCTTTGGTTTGACTTCCTGAGCCTCCTGGCCAGGCCAGCGTCTCCACCAGCTCTCAAGGTACCCCTTTCTTTTCCAACCCCAAATCTGGAACACCCCAGCTTCAGACTCCCACCACTCCCCAACTTCCAAACAGGTACCGTGGGGCTTCTTACCTGTGAACATGCCCCCAATGATGGCACACACGCCGGTCAGGAAGTGGGTGAAGGACCTGGCAGAGGGAGCAGGGGGGCTCAGTGGGCATCCTGTTCCTACAGACACAAGCCCTCGCCACCACCCCCACGCCACCCCTCACCTGTGCTTCTCTGTCAGTTTCACCATCATGGGTGAGAGCTCATACAGCACAAAGACTCCAGGAAGGCCCTGGTCACCCAGCAGCCCATTGGCTACCTTCTCATGTCTGGTCACAGAGAACTGATTAGTCCTCAGCACCTGGAGTGGAAAGGGAGCCGGGGCTAGAGTTAGGTCTAGGATCTGGCACCCGACCTTCCCCAGCACTGCCATTCCTGCCCCTTGTCTTGGTGTACACTGACTGTGTAAAGGGAGAAAATGAGGTGCTAGCTTGGTAACAGATCCCCTGGCCTATTGTTTTCATCCTGATTTCCACTCCAGTCACCAGCTCCTTATCATTTACCCATCCCAGTTACATCTGGTGCATGCTCTCACTGGAGGCCCAGGAACGAGAGGCAGGTCCCCTACAATGTACCCTAAGGCTGGACTGACTTTGTCACTCTCAGCCCCCTGCATTCTGCCACTCCGGAGAGGTTGCTCCACAGGCCACAGCAGGAATGGAACTGGCCCAGAATGCTCAGCCTGACTGCCCCCGCACTGGCAGCACCCCAGGCTTGACCTTGGCCTGTGAGAGTAAATCACCTACCCTCTGAACCTCAGTGTTTCATCCATTATATGGGGATAAGAGCAGCATTTACTCCCCAGGCTGAAGGGACTAAATGAAGGACCTCAAGTGCTTGGCACCAGGCAGGAGACTGACAGCTGCACTCCCTCAGACTCACCTCCCCATCTACTTTCATGTACACTGTGGGTACCACCTTCACAAAGTACTGGAACATCATGGAGGCTGTGGGGAGAAGACAGCACTGGGCATAGGTGCCAGGCAGGGCTTTGGTAGCAAGGGGCTACCTCCCAAGATGGTACCTTGGGGCGCAGTGACGTTGGTGTGGTCCAGGGGGTTCACGATGCCTGGATAGTCCTCCCCAAATGAAAGGTGCTGGATGTAGTGAGTCATGTTGATCTGCAAACAATGCCAGTGCCTGAGGCCTGAGTCCCCAACCCATGCAAAGCTCTACTACAGTAGCTGACAGGGATGCTTGGATTTGTCTGTGTGTGTGGAGGAAGAATGATGAAGGCAGGAGGTCCCGTCTGCAAGAAGCTATGGCTTTAAGGAGAAAACCTGCCTGTGAATTCCTCACAGTCTACACTCTTGACACTCCAGGGTTTAAGGCACTGGCTTCGCTCATCTGCGGTTGCACAGGCCAGCTGCTGACTTACATGGCGGGTGCTAGCTCTGCTGGGAGGGTCAAAGTCATAAAGGCTAGGCTAAAGGCCTCTGATCTCCAGCTTTTTTGCTTCTTTCTGGCTCTATTTTATAGCAAACTCAGTCACTGGAGGAATCTTTTTTTTTTTTTTTTGCTGGTCATGGGGTCTGAGCTCTGGGCCTGGGTGCTGTCCCTCAGCTCTTCAGCTCAAGGCTAGCGCTCTACCACTTGAACCACAGCGTCACTTCCAGCTTTTTCTGCTTATGTGGTGCTGAGGAATCGAACCCAGGGCCTCATGCATGCAAAGCAAGCACTACCACTGAGCTACCTTCATAGCCCCCTGGAGGAATCTTTAAAAAAAAAATGCTAATCTGATTAAGATCATGCCCTTGGTTAAGGTAGGCCAACAACGTCCCTCTGTTTTCAGAGGAAAGGCCAGACTCCTGAGTGTAGCCTGAGTCCTGTGTGCTCTGGCCCCATCAACCTCTCTCTCCATCCACACCTGTCGTGGCAGACCAGCACCACACTCCTTCAGACTTTGTCCCGAGGTTCCCTTTGTTGGGGCTGCTCCTGTCCAACTGCATCCCCTAGCCTGCTCTGATCTTAGTCCAGAAGACCCTCTCTCACCCAACCCACAGACTGGGCCCCCTGCAAGACAGGGTATATAGTGGTCTACATGCAACCCCACCTCAGAGAAATGAAGGAAGCAGCCCAGTCTCAACCCCACCTGACCTCCGTGGCTTCCACCTGGTACATACATTGTCAAGACCGAAGCTCTGCAAGTCATGGACTAGGAGAAAAGGGAGAAAGGGTCAGCATGGGTGTCTTCTTCCCTCTAGCCTCCTCCCTCTGCAGTAAGGTCTATCTGGCTCTCCGTTAACATCCCCCTTCCCCCCACCCCACTCACCCTCCGGCCTGATCCTACTTAAGGACAACCAGAAAGGGCCTGCCTGAGTCCATGTAAACTCAACACAGACCCGGTTTCTTAGCTCACATATACAGGGAAAATCAGGCCTTTGTTCCCACCAAATCCTGCCTGCGTCTAAGGAAACAAAACCCTGATTCTGATCTCACATGAACTGGATATGACAAATCACTTAACTCCAAAGTAAGGAGAGACCTAAGACTGCCATCTAAGCTCTCTCTGATTCTCCTCTCACAGCTCCCCAAAAGGAATCCCATGGACACCCTGTATCAACTGCTCCACAACAAGAGCTTCCTGTCTGCTAAACCCAACCCCCTCCTGCTACAAGGAACCCTACCTCCAAGATACATCCTGTGCTTCTTATGGCCACCTAGAGGCCAGGCCAAGAAGGCCCAATCCCAGACCCATGCAAACCTCTCCCCATCCTAGGACAGGCTGCCCCAGAAATAGGGGCTTGCCCTTCCTGGGGGGGCAGGACCACTTACTCTCCACAGCATGTACTGCAGCATGGGGGAGGGAGGAGAGGGAAGGGAGGAAGAGAACAAAGATTCAGAGGTTCACAATGAGATCTATGGAACACGATACATAGGATCGCACTATTTTTGCTTCAGCAACAGGGTCTGGCCCAGCCAACAGGCCTCTCTTTAGTTCCCTCCTAAAGGGAACTCTTCCTTGCATGAGGTCTTGGGGACAGAAGTCTGGTGGCCTAGTAAGAACAAAAGACCTAGAGCCCAGGAATCCCTTTCCTAGTTGTGTGACTTTGGGCAAAATCACTGCTCTTTCTGGGTCTATGTTCAAGTCCACAAGGAGCTATCCTAAGACTCTGATAGTATCTAAGAGAAGAAAGTATTTATCAATTTTGCAATGTAAGATTCTATTTTACCATGTAAGATTATACTGTACCCCTAGTCACAACAGGATGTCAGAAAGTCGGTCCCAGGTCTAAATTCAGGCAGATCACTGTTTACGACTTGCTCTGGGGTCCATGGCCTGATGACAGCCCCCGCAGAGAGGCAGAGAGGCAGAGAGGCTGCTTTCTCAGCCATACCTCTCATTCAATGTCTGCAAGTTTCAGAGTCAACAGCTTGCCCCTGAACACCTTCCCATAGTCTCAGTGAGACCGGATCTCCCTTGGCTTCCTCTGGACTAAGAGGGTCCTCCAGAACCACTCCTGCCCTCCCTATTCAACGGGCTTTCTGGAAGACAACACGGATATCACACAGGACCCCTCTTCCTGCCTGCTTCCTTTACCTGGAGTAGCTCAGGGCTGACACAGCCCTTGCTCATCCCCAGAGCTTTTCACCATGTGGCTTCACTTATCCTCAATGTAATTCTTTTTTTTTTTTTTTTTTTGGTCAGTCATGGGGCTTGAGCTCTGGGCCTGGGCACTGCCCCTCAGCTCTTCAGGTCAAGGCTAGTGCTCTACCACTTGAGCCACAGCACCATTTCCGGTTTTCTGGTGGCTATTTGGAGATAAGTCTCACGGACTTTCCTGCCTGGGCTGGCTTTGAACCATGATCCTCAGATCTCAGTCTCCTGAGTAGCTAGGATTACAGGCATGAGCCACTGGCGCCTGGCTCCTCAATGTAATTCTGACTCCTGTTCTCCCCAGCTGACCTCTCACTGGGGTGCGTGCTCAGTCATGGGTAACACCTGTCTTCAACCTATGATTAGCCCCTCCACTCTCCACAGCTGGCCATTTGGTCTCTCACACCCATCCCCTCTGGCCAAAAGGGAGGTCGCTGGCTCCTTACCGCCACTTTCACATCTATGACCTTTGATCTTCCCTTAAAGTCCCAGCTCCAAAGCTCACAGAGAACAGTCCTTACTTGTTTTAGTCAAGAAAGCCCACAGAGAACTCCTGGGACAATTCTTCCATACCTTTTCCCAAGGTTTTTAGCAACAGCCCATCCCTGAAGCTCCTCATGATTTCTATAGTCACGTCCACCAGTTTTCCAGTGTTCCCTGGTTTCTCAATTCCTACATATCCCCCTTCTTCTTGGATTTATCCTCTACCTACCTGAGCCACCAGCTCTGCTGGGTGGTTCCCTAAACTTTGACAATAACTACATGCCTCAGGTAACTTCAAGTACCTTATGCTCCAACTACCACTAATTTTCTCCCACTTCTCTCCAGTACCTCAAACCCAACGATTCTTTGGCCCCATACCAAGGGTGCATTGTTTCTTTTGCTTGTTCATTGGTGTCCTCCTTCACCCCAAGCCCCTACAGTCTCACTTCTGCCTTTACCATCTTATTGCCCACGATCTAGCACTAGAACACTTCTTTACGTATTTCTTTGACTCCCTTGCCTTTATAAGTGCCTAGAAACACTCACCGAGGTAATCCCAATGCTGTGTCACTCACTCTAAGCCACCCCAAACAGCTGCCTTGATGCTGATGGGGTCTCACTTTCCAATCATTGCTCTGGGTACCAGGGAGGCCCTTGGGTTGCCTAGCAACCCATTTCCACTTCATGGTCTATGTTCTCTCTCACTCTCACAGTACTACTTACATTTCCCTTATCGTCTTATCCTCAGCTGGTGACCTTGTGACTTACATCACAAAGAAAAAGAACAGCTTAGAAGAGACCATTCATGGGCTTTTTAGTGCTCTAGCTACTTCCCTGCCTGTGCCTAGAGTCTGCTTTCCTCTGACTGTGGAATCTGGTCTTTCTCCATGTCTGACGTCAGACTCTCTTTCTCTCTCCTTCTCAAGGACTTCACTCTAGGGATTTTTTTTTTCTTTCCTCTTTGGAGCATCACCTTTGCTCTCTTTACATGGTAATTTCTGACAGCATATTAACATTTTATGATACAACCTGCCCTGGCTCCAATAATTTGATTTGGGGAGCTACCATTGATACAAGTGCCTACGAAACCCAGGCTTGGTGCTATTCTCTTCTCTTTTCTTTCTTTTAATGCTAGGGATTGAACCCAGGGCCTTACATGTGCTAGGCAGGCACTCTACCATTGAGCTATACTTTTTAACCTGCACAAACTCCATGTAAGGTAAGTACTGTTAATCATCACCGTTTTATAAAGAAGGAAACTGAAACTAAAAAAAAAAATTAACAAACTTTCTTGGAGTCACACAGCCAGAAGTTTGAAATCTGAACCCAGCCAGTCTGGCTCTTCAGCGTCTGCTCTTAACTATGGGGCCAAGCTTCTGGCCCAGAGAAGGCAAAGACAAGAGCGTCAGGCAGGTTAGAGGCATACCAATTCATCTAGGGTCTATAATGCCCCAGCTGATGTGGGACTACTCACCATGCACATGGGATTGCTGGAAGCTCTTCCCAGGGGCAAAGTGGAAGTTGCCAGCCACCTGTGGGGGATATTTCCTCTCATTCTCCAGCCATGTCCTGCCTTCGCTTGAAGGCTGAGTGGTCTCTTGGTTCATGGTGGGAGCTCCAGCCCAGCGCAACCAGTTCCCCTGCCTTGCCTCAGTCCTTCCTGGTACCTTGTTGACTTCCAAGAAGCCATACACCTGGCAACCTTCATTCTTCTGCTCTTGCATCTTCTGGCTGAAGCCCTCTCGCCGGCACTGTTCAATAGTGTCTGGGTTTTTGAAGGCCCAGCCTCGACGGCGATATGCCTCCCGCACATCTTCACAGGTGTTGCAGCACCTGGCGGGGAGGGAGGGAAGGGCACCATCAGTTCTGTCTGCCATGGAGCCTCTGCTAGCCTCATCCCTGCCCACCACATGTTCTCAATGTTCCGCAGAGGTATCAGCGCTGCTCAAAACATGGGTTTCCATTCCATATACAACATTAATGTTTCTGCCACATGTATTTGACTACCAAAGAAATACAAAAACCTTTTTTTTTTTTGTGAGTGTGGTGATGGGATACAAACAGGGGTTGGGAAGTTAGCTCAGTGGTAGAGCGCTTGCCTCGCATGCATGAGGCCCTGAGTTTGATTCCTCAGCACCACATAAGCAGAAAAAAGCTGGAAGTGGCACTGTGGCTCAAGTGGTAGGGTGCTAGCCTTGAGCTGAAGAGCTGAGGGACAGCGCCCAGGCCCAGAGTTCAGCCCCCATGACTGACGAAAACAAACGAACAAACAAAAAACACAGGGGCCTTGTACAAGCAAATTATGGCCACACTCCGAACATCCTCCCCTTACAAATAAATGTTCTAAAATATGTATTTCCAGGTCCTACCCAGACCTGTTGCGTCAGCCTCTCAGGTCAGGGCATGGGTAACAAATAACACAACAGTTACGATATCTTGTAGTTTATTAATTTGGGCTAGACCTTCTACCTCAGAGCTTCACATACAATATAAGTAAAGGGGGGATGCAATTGTCCTTCTTCATATAGACAGGTGCTACTACTGGGACTGAGGATGCAAGGCAGAAGGACTCTAGAGAACACCACTGGAATATTTCTCTAGGCTGAAGAGCAGGGACCTCTTTAGCCTCACCCCTAGTTTGCAGTTTCCAGGCAGAGCTTGCTTAGCTTAGAAAGCCTTAGTCACTTGCACCATGATCCCTGATGGGGGCATGTACCCTAGTCCTCTAAATTTTTAGTCTATTCTCCCCACCCCCAGGGCCTGGCTCACTTGATGTCTTCCGATTCAGCTCCATAGCAGCTCTCACAGCGATCAGGGTCCAGGGAATCTGGATCAAACACTGTCACCTCCACTTTCCCAAGTTCTACGGGGAAGGCAGAAACATGAGCTGGGGACAGATAATAGTGGTACCTCTGTAGTCTTAGTTCGTGAGCAGGTCTTGGCCAATGAGTTGGGAATCAAAGTTAAAATAGTACCTAAATTTTATATGGTAGACACCATAGATCAGGGATTAGGTTTTTCTATATACATATTAAGTCTTTCAATACAATAGTAAGAAACAGTGACAGCTGGGTGTTAGTGGCTCACAGATATAATCCTAGCTATTTGGGAGGCTGAGAGCAGAAGGATCTTGGTTCAAGGACAGCTCAGGAAGAAAACACTGTAATACTCCATCTCAACAGAAGAAGCTGGGTGTGGTGGAACATGTCTGTCATCCTATTACAATGAGATGCCTAAAACAAGCATACTGCAGTCCAAGAATGTACCTGGACATAAAGTGAGAGTTTTTCTCAAAGATAACCAGCACAAAAAAGAGCTGGAGGCACCTACCTAATAAACATGAGGCCCTGAGTTCAAACACCAGTGTAGCAAAAAGGAAAAAATAAAACTGTAACCATGGACACTGTCACTGTAGTTTATGTACCTTGTCCCCATAATGACTGACTGACCTGAAGCTGGCTAACAGACATCTATTACAGGATACCACTAAGAGCATGAAAAATAAGTTAAAAATGAACACCCACCCTGTCTCAGATATTTTATACATAATTATAAATACTCTTCCATGTACAATGGTGTTACATATTAATAAACCACTGTGAAATATCACATCAAAAATGAACTTAAGGCTGGGTGCCAGTGGCTTATGCCTATAATCCTAGCTACTCAGGAGGCTGAGATATAAGGATCATGGTTCAAAGCCAGCTTGGGCAAGAAAGTCTGTGAGACTCATCTCCACAGAAAACCAGAAGTATCCCTGTGGCTCAAGTGGTAAAGTGCTCGCCTTGAGCTGAAGAGCTGAGGGACAATGCACAGGCCAAGAGTTCAAGCCCCATTACTGACAAAAAAAAAGAATTTAATATGCTTAACCTACTGAACATGATAGCTTAGCCTGCCCTACTTTAAGCATGTACAGAATACTTATAGTAGCCCCTACAGTTGGGGAAAATCATCCAATAGAAAGACTGTTTTGCTTGGTGCCCGTGGCTCATCCCTAGCTACTTAGGGGGCTGAGATCTGAGGATCTCAGTTCAAAGCCAGTCCAGGCAGCAAAGTGAGACTGTTATCTCCAATAAACTACCAGAACCACCAACGGGAAGTAGCACTGTGACTCAAGGGGTAGAGTGCTCGCTTTGAGCTGAAGCGCTGAGGGACAGCACCCAGGCCCAGAGTTCAAGCCCTATGACTGACAAAAAACACAAAAACAAAAAAACCTGTTTTATGATAAGGTTTAAATACTTTAGGTAACTGAATACTGAACTGAAAGAGGAAAACAATGTGTGTACTTTCATACCATCATAAAGTCGAAAATTCTTAAATTGAACAGCCTGAAGCTGGGAATCATCTGTATGGATTTCATTTGATCCTTCTATTCCAAAGTGATTGGTATTGTTCTTTAATCTCTGCTTTATAGTTGAGGCTCAGACTGCAAAAGGCAAAGCTAGCTAGGAACCCAGACAATTGGATTTGAGAATCTAAACTCTTGGAGACAAGCATCAAAGGCTGATTTCAGCCAATGGGGTGAAAAAGAGTTTGTTATCTAAAGAATTTCCACCAATACTATGACATATAAGACCCATCCTCAAGCTTTTGTTACTCAAATTAAGAAAGCATACAGAGTTACTGAACATACAGAGGCTAGAAGTCTGGATTTCAGTCCACTCTGACTCTTTTTTTTTGGGGGGTCCGGTGGTGGGGCCTGAACTCTGGGCCTGGGCACTGTCCCTCAGCTCTTCAGCTCAAGGCGAGCGCTCTACCACTTGAGCCACAGCACCACTTCCGGCTTTTTTCTTTTTTCTTATGTGGTGCTGAGGAATCGAACCCAGGGCTTCATGCATGCAAGGCAAGCGCTCTACCACTGAGCCACCTTCCCAGCCCTCCACTCTGACTCTTAATAGCTGAGGAGCCATAGGCAAGGCAGTTGACTGTCCTAGATGTTGACTGTTAATATGTCACTGTGCCTCCAACAGCTTATTTGCTGGAAGATAGGGATTGGGTACTTACAGCTCTGGGATCTAAGACCTGTCCCCCTCCCCTGGTTACCATGCCGCTCAGCCTCTGAGCTCACGGGGATGCCATCCTTGTCTAGACGTTGCTTGAACAGGTTGTGTTCCACGTCCAGCTGCTGTTCCCCCGCCACATCCATGGCATCAATGCTCAAATCTGGAAGTGTGAACTCAGGTTAAGGCGCTAGGACTCAGGAGGCATGGTGATCTGGGTCTTGGAGGGAAAGAAGTTGTCTTGTGGCAGAACTTGGCTAAGGGCAAGGAGGCTGTCCCTGGGTCCAGAACCTAAGGCTGGAGGTGTGAATCTGGGAACTTGGGACTACCAACTCCTCCCATCCATGGTGATGTACTCACAGGCACAAGGCATGTGTGGGAAGAGAACATCGATGTTGATCTTCAGTTTGTCTCCCCGTGACTTGTCCACGTAGAGCTCGGGATGCACCTGGGGCAGCGCTACCTCTGTAAGATCCGGCCCCCAGCCTCCTCTTCCCCACTCCCACTCGCGGCCCTTCCCCTAGGCGCCCCGCCCCTGCCCTAGGCCCCGCCCCTTACCTCCGTGGTGAGGTAATATTGCAGCTCGGACAGGAACAGTAGGAGCATGAGGAGGCCACTGACGATGGTCACTGCAGGGCGGAAAGCGAGGGTCAGAATGGCCTCTCTTCTACTCCCTCAGACTGTAGCGGGCCGGTCAGGGTCCAGGCGTCCGGGCCGAGCTCTAAGACACCCCCTCCCCGCAACCCCGGCCCCGCCGAGGCCTACCCGTGGCGCCCCCGCAGGTCTTGACCCGGAAGTCCTCCAGAGTCTTGGGGTAGGCATCGAACTGCTTCAGCTTCCCCAGCGCCTCCATGGGGACCTGCCGGAAAGGGGAATGCCAGTCGGCCCGCCCTTGCAATCTCCCGCTTCCGGCCCGGAGGCCGGGACCACGCCCCCTCGCTCCCTCACGCAGGCGCGCAGCGGTGCGCTCGCCCGCCTGCCCTCTACGACTCAATAAGCGAGGTGACAGGCGGCCGGCCCCTGGTGCCACGCCCCCTAGCTGGAACAGGGCGCTACCCGCGAGGCTCCCAGACTTGAGTTAGTGGAGCGACGGGGCTGCTAGAAGGAGATCTCTGCCAGCTAGAAACAAGGGACCATGTTGGCATTCACTTGCCTGTGTCAGAAACTGTGTCAAGTGTTTTCACTTTAAATTCTTGACCTCCTAGAACAGTGGTTTCAAAGTGTCCCCTGACCAGCGGCAAAGATGCCTGGGAACTAATTAGAAATGCAAATAATTGGTTCTCATCAACTAGTCAGAAAACCCAGGATGGCACCATGAAGATTCTGACGCAGTTAACCTGTGAGTTTCCCTCTTGGAAAGTGTTAACTTCACTTTCCCAAGAGCAAGCTGATTAATATCAGGACCGGATTCCAACCCAGTTCTGCACCTCAAAGAAATCTGGGAAGCAAGGCCTTTTGGGTTAATTTTACTCAAACATCATTCCAGTACCGCTGTTGAACGCTGCTTTCTTGATTACTCCAAATCGTTTTTCAGAACCTGGGCTCCTCACTGGCATACTCTACCCCTCCGGGCCTAGACCCAAGTGGTGTAGAGATTAAGCACCTCCACTGCTGCTTCCTATTGCAATCCATTGTCTCTAGGAAGGATTATGGGCCCTGGACTATAATCTAGCTATTTGGGTGCCTGAGACCCGAATGTATGAAGGTTGAAGATCTGGGGGATAAATCTGAGAGACTCTTATCTCTTAATTAACCAGCAAAAGTTGGAGCTGGAGTGAGGCTCAAGTGATAAAATGCTAGTCACAAATAGAAAAAAGCCAAATGAGAGCTAAGATCCTACGTTCAAACCACAAAAAAAAGGAATGTAAGAAAATAAAAACAGCTGTATAACTAAAAGTACACATAGAATTTTGTTTGTTGTTTTGATATAGGGTCTTGCTTGTTGCCTGGACTGGACACAAACTGCTGGACTCAAACTATCCTTGTATCTTAGAGGCCCACATAGCTGGGGTTACAAGTGCTAGCTGTTCAGGAATCTCATTCTAGGATATAAAATAAGTACCCCTTTATGAATTATATTTTAGCTGGGCACCAGTAGCTCATGCCTGTAATTCTAGCTACTCTGGAGGCTAAGATTTGAGGATCAAGGTTCAAAGTCAGCCTGGACAGGCTTGAGACTCTTATCTCTAATTAACCACCAAAAAGCCACAAGTGGTGCTATGGCTAAAGTAGTAAAGCCCTAGTTCTGAGCAAAAAAAAGCTCAGCAACAGTGCCCAGGCTCTGAGTTCTTTAAGCTCCAGTGCCATAAAACAAACACAGAAAAACGAAACTTTTCAGAAATCAACATCTGCAACAAAAACCCTTTCTGAACAATGTGACTTTTTTTTTTTTTTGTCGTGGGGCTTGAACTCTGGGCCTGGGCACTGTCCCTCAGCTTTTCAGCTCAAGGTGAGAGCCCTACCACTTGAGGCACAGCGCCACTTCCAGCTTTTTTTTTTGCTTATGTGGTGCCTCATGCATGCAAGGCAAACACTCTACCACTGAGCCACCTTCCCAGCCCCAACAATGTGATTTAAAAAAAATCACATGTATTTACCTTGGTAACAGTTGTCAAATGGAAAAGAAAGCCAGGTGTGGTAATACATATCTTTTTTTTTTTTTGGGTCCGGTCGTGGGGCCTGAACTCTGGGTCTGGGCGCTGTCCCTCAGCTCTTCAGCTCAAGACTAGCGCTTTACCACTTGAGCCACAACACCACTTCCAGCTTTTTTTTTGCTTATGTGGTGCTGAGGAATTGAACCCAGGGCCTCAGGCATGCAAGGCAAGCACTCTACCACTGAGCTACCTTCCCAGCCTGGTGATACATATCTTTAATCCCATAATTCAAGAGGCTGAAACAGGAAGATTTCAAGTTCAAGGTCAGTCTGGACTGCACAGACATCCTTTTTTTTTTTTCTTTCAGAACTGGTGTTTGGAAGGCAGCTACACCACTATATCACCAACGCGCCCCAGAATTGGGGTTTGATCTCAAGACCTTGCACTTGTTAGGCTGGTGCTCTGCTACTTGAGCCAGGCCTCCAGCCAACACACAGGTCTTATCTAATAACAACAACAATGAAAGATCCAAAAATAAATCAGAAAATAAAGTCAACCCTGGGAGGTTTTTTGTATTTTTTTAACACTTGATTCTAGTCCCTTTTATCAATATGATAAATTTTCTCTGTTCCAAGTAACCTCCCTTGTCCCTTTCTGCCTCCTACTCATCCAGTCCAGCCTTGACATGCATCCTCACGCTCTTTATCCTTCTGTTCCATGAAGCTCTGCCCCCAAGCCTTCCTTGTGCTCTGGTGTGAATGGTAAAGTGAAGGAGGAGGCCTTGCTTGTGAGTCTATAGAGAGGAAATCACAATGCAGCCTTTGTGAGGAGGTAGGACCCTGATATAGCTGGATTGGCTAGGAAGACCTCATTAGGTCTCAATGTCCTTGGGGGAGCCACTGGACACAAGGAGTACCACCTGCCCATTCTACCTCTCAGGCCTTGGTCACTATCTTGAGTGGTGATCTGGAGTAGGGAGGCCATAGTGAAGTGTTGGAAAGTGTGCTGTGGAGGACTAGGAGAAGAAAGAAGCCACCAGGACAAGGTTCACTAAGAATTACTGTGACCTTCAGTCTTCTTCCTTCCCTAGGCCAACTATCAAAGCAAATTCACTACTTGTCAGGGGCACTGTCATTGGGGTCAGAGATGACTCAATACTGGAATGTGGGTCTAGTAGCTGCCTGTATATTTTCATTGTGGCTGATGGCCTCCTTCCCGAACCAGAAGTTCAACCAGAACCATCTCCATCATATGAACAGAATATGGTCAAGGTCCTGCCACAGTTCCAAAAACTCTTCCAGAAAGTGCAGCTGCCTGTGTGAGGGCTGCGCGGGCACTGCCCGCCTCCAGGCTCCTGGAGAGTCTGATGGGATTGACAGAGTCTTCAGAAGGGTCATCCAGCTCCTGGACAGATCAAATTCCGTGTCCTATGATGCTCTGCTCTTATGGCCGGTCAGTACATTCTTGGTCTTGATCTGGCCCCTGCATCCCAACCTCAGGTTCTAACCTTCTACAAGGAGACATGGGCTGAACTCCTAAATTCCTTCCCCCACGGCTCCTTAGAATCTGCAGAGAGGCAAGTCTGAGAAGGAGGTGGAGAGCAGCCAGCTGGCAGATGTACCGCCCAAACGCCCCCTGCACCTTGTGGGATCTAGCTGCTGGACCTGTGCAGTAGTGGGAATCTCAAGATCCTTGTGGAGCTCGAGTTTCGGCTCCATGATCAACCAACACAAGTTGGTGCTCAGGTGAGTGCAGAGGAGGTAAAATCAGGCCAAGCCCTCCTCCACCTCCTATTTTTTCTTTTCCAAATGAACATCCTGCCCTTCCTTCCAGGAGAAATTGGGCACCTCCTGTCCAAGGCTTTGAGGCAGATGTGGGGAACGAGACCACTGCACATGATGCCCCCTGAGGTTACCAGTGCACAGGACCTTGGCACTCCGCCGCTGATGCTTCCACTGAATTCATCCAGAGTGGGTCATAAAAACACTATGGGAAAAGAGCTTTGCCTGGAAGTCAAGAGACTGTGGGGACTTGTGAGAGAGCCTTGTTGAATCCTGGGCACTTGAGCTTGGTGTGTCAAATGACTCTAATCTCTTCCTACTCCCCCCCTCCATGCCAATAATCCCTTTTTAACATTTTGGATAGTCAAGTTTCCTCTTGGAATCAGAGAACAAAGATGAGGTGAGGTCTCCAGGAAGGAAAAGGGAAAGGAGGATGTGACTGTGTAGGGTCACAGGGACAGGTGTCTAGTTAGCACTCTCCTCCATTTTCTCCAGATTCTGGTGATCCACCTCTCCTTCTTGTATAAATCCAGGAATATTGGCTGAGAAGCCAGGGTCAGTATCTGTCCTTGGGGTCTGAGGCTCTAGCTTATGCTTTGCACATTTGTGACCAGGGTAAGGCATCTGCCACTCACAGATCTTCATTCCATCCCAAATTTCTGTCTTCCCAGGGATTTTAAGTCAGATGCTTTCTGCCTGGCCTTCAAAGTCCTGTATGATCTGACTGCTCCTCTCCTCTCTTCCAGGCTTCCGCACAGGGTGCCTTGGAGTTTCTTTCACATCAGCTTTCTTTGTTTTGTTGGTCATGGGGATTGAATTTAGGGCCTGTGCTCTGTCCCTGAGCTCTTTTTGTTCAAGGCTAATATTCTACCATTTTGAGCCACAGTGCCACTTCTAGTCTTCTGGTCGATTGGAGATAAGAGTCTCAAAGAAGCTGGGTACTGGTGGCTCACACCTGTAATCCTAGCTACTCAGGAGGCTGAGATCTGAGGATTGCAGATCAAAGCCAGCCCAGGCAGGAAAGTCTGTGAGACTCTTATCTCCAATAAACCACCAGAGAAACCGGAAGTGGCACTGTGGCTCAAGTGGTAGAGCGCTAGCCTTGAGATGAAGAGCCGAGGGACAGTGCCCAGGCCCAGAATTCAAGCCCCACAACCAACAACAACAACAAAAAGGCCTTTCTTGCCTGGGCTGGCTTTGAACTGTGATCCTTAGATATCAGCCTCCTGAGTAGTTTGGGTTATAGGCGTGAGCCACCAGCACCAGAATTACACATCAGATTTCTTATGTGTTCTCACACATCTGGGAAATCCTGTATACCCTCAGTCTGATGGGTAATGATTGGCTCTGGGGTTACTCTGATTTTCAGAGTCTACTTTCCCTGAAGATGAATTCCTTCCCCAAGAAGAAAGCTGCACCTTCAGTGTTGGTGTGTGTTTCCTGGAGTGGCAAGGGTGAGGGCAGGATCCAGCCCGCCATGGCTATCTTCTGTCTTATCCCAGGTATCCCTGTTCAGTTTGGGGACTGATTATCTCAAAAGACAGTC